CCTTCTCTCTTTTCTCATTTTTTTTAAAAGCAAAATATAACATTACATTTTTCATTTTCTCTTAAATTGAAGTCTTTCTTTATATTTACATGAAGTTACAATTACAAAGATACAGTGAACACCACCCATCTATGTTGACCTCACACCTTAATTGTAGCCCTTACCACATCTGAGCTGCTGTTCATGTAGGTTGCGAAACTCCAGGCCGTGGAGGTGGGTGGGGAACACACACACCGTGTCATTGCCAATCCTCACTAAGTTGCTTCGTGCCCAAAGGAGCAGCCACTTCAGCTGACAGTCACAGAATAAAGTCTCAGTGTGGAAGTGCCTGACAGGAACACCAGTGTACAGTTAGAAACTGCGTGCTTGTTACTGAATTTGACTAATTCATTCAGGTGTTCATCACTGCAGATATTTTGGTGTGTCACAACAACTGATACAATTATTGATGGTTTCTTTCTATTTATGTGTGTTGGTTCCAGGGTGCAGGCATTGTTCTTTCTGACTCACTAGCAAGGTTTACTGACCACCTACAGTACGTAGAGCAGAGCCATCCTTAATGTCATTAAATACTGTGCTTTCCCTGTTATAATAGAAAGTATCTGCAGTGAAAACAGCCTGTGATTTCCTGACTCTGCCCTAGCCCCAGCCTTTGACTGTCATGTATTACATGCACTCAAGCCATAAAGATAATGTTCCATGAATGTGCAAAGTTGAGGTTTGCCAGCCGTTTTAACTCCATACCATCTTTTCACTTTGACATTTGTTTCAACACTCAACCAAGTTCTGAAGGTTTTTCCAGAATCCACATATACTCTTCTAAGAATGCAGAATCAAAAATAATCCAATCCAGTGCAGGAAAATTAGAATTATAATCACTTTCTTGGGTCATACTATTTCTTTTAAGCAAGTTAAGCAAAGATGGCAACTCTAAATGATGTCATCTCTCACCTTTTTTGGAAAAGTTGAGCACAAATGTATTATTGAAACCTATTGTATTATACTTGCTTTTATATTATTGAAAACAAAGTGAAATTATTATTGAAAATGTTTAAATAATAAATTCATGAAGTTAAGCCCCTTTCACACAAATCCAGAGGGATAATGTCGTTTCCTGTTGCCATCTTTTTTCTTGTTGTATTTTTTTTTCCAAATGAGAATAGACATAGTTGAGATACTAATTAAAATACCAATGTTCCTGGACAGAACCATGTTATTGTTGATGCCACATCATTAGAGAGGATTCGGAAAATACCTTCTGAATTTGGGCAAGTGTTATGAAACAACGGTACGGGGTTAGAATGGTCAGCTAATCTCAATTTTGCAGGTAAATGGAAGATTATTAGTTATTAGATTAAGAGTTACAAACTGCAGCTAGCTATACCCTTGCCTCTGTATACTGAAAAATAATAAGTTAGGTTTAATTTGATTCTTCTCAAACACAATTTAGATAACTGTATTTTGTTTGCATATTGCATAGCCTATGAGTGTTTGACTTACAGTACTCTGAGAGCCATGAGGTGAGTAAAGAGTCCCACGGTCAAAGTGGAGAAGATGTTCCCAGATAAATTCCTATTAGTGAAAAAAGAAAGCACACACACAAAGATGTTCATACAGAAACAGGCCATCCTTTGCAAGCACTTAAGCCAAGTCACTGCATTTTATTATACATTGCTAAAGCCATAGACAGTGCAATTAAGCATAAGGCAGTAAAATTCATGTGTTCAATTTAAGGATTACTCACAATTTTGAGAGGTTGCCCAGATCAAGAAACATGTCAGGGGAGAGACAGCCAATCCTGTTGTTGGACAGGTCCCTAGAGGACAAAAATGTAAAGGAAAAAGAACATTCTTCAGTTGAGCTATTAACATATCACTTTAGTCAGAACAAAAAACAACTCAGAATAGGAATCAACTGCAAAAATGTCTCTTTTTTAGAATCAGTTTTTATGTCTGCTTGCCTTCTTAAAATACTGTGAACATAACCAGCTGTGAAAGCTGTGTTAGTCAACAGTGCACTGTTCATTCATCTGTTCAACTCCCTGTAATATCTCTTCTGACCTTTTGTAACTTTTTCCTCCACACATAACCACTGCCGGTAAATGTACTCCCCCACAAAGACATTCACGTGCAAATGCCGTGGGCTTCCGTATGCGAGTGGCTGAGTGCCGTCACGTCCGTGCCCTCACACTTTGTAATTAAAGAGCTGCTTTACTGGAGCAGCTGTGGGAAAATAAGCAGAGCACTAGAGTAATCACCAGTTGGGGAGCACTTAAATTAGCACTCCACTGCTCCCTGAGCCTGGCGCGCACACATACACGCGCCCCAAATGAGCATGGCTAACTCAACCGCTTGTGTCCCTGCCAGCCCAGATCCCACTAACTATAAGGCTGCAATCATGTCACTCACTCTTGAGTCTATATGTAGAAAGAAAGGATGAAAATAATCCTCAAGAGAATTACCGCAGTAGAAGACAAATCTCATACTTTACTTTTTTCTACACGTTTCTGCAGGTTTACAATTCAAACAAGTTTGTAAAGTTTAATGTTTTATCTAACTTTGAATATTGTCAACTTTAAGGATAATAAATAAGATTATCTTCCTTTTACAGATGAAAAGTTGAGAATGCAAGCAATAAAACTTGCACTTGCTCAATTCGGTACTCAGTGGGGTTTTGCCATTAAAGGTAAAGCCAAAGGCATCAGTAACTTAATAAAACTTGACAACAATGTAAAACTGAAGAAAGGTTGTTAATTTCTGTACTGCAGTCATATTTTCACAGAATTTTTGCTCAGATTCTTTGATGTGCAGCTTTGCCACCCACCAAAAGACTTTCACCAGCTCTGCTTATAAGAAAAAATAAACATTAGTGATGGCAAAGCTCAATAATACTATGGTAATAGACAATGAATAGTCTTTTTTATAAATCCATTCCTACTAATGTGTGGGCAGCAGCAAATATGCCAGCAGATTAGTTTGCTAGCAGCTAACCTTGTCGGCCCCGTGTCTCTTGCCTTGCAGGTGTAGCAATTCATCAACAGTCTCCCTGTGGTGGCTAGTGTTAGCAAACTATAGGCACATTCAGCTGTGTAACTTACTAATTTGTCTCCACTTGCAGTACTGCTTAGCCACAAGGGTGGACCAGCTCCCAACAACGTTTACTTCTTATTTTCCTCATGTAGTCTTTCCTCAGGTTGAGCTTTAATATGGACAAACAAGCGGCTGTCCTTTGTCCAATGCCCACACAAAATCAGACAGTCAAACTGACACAGTTGTCCTCTTTCAAAGCCCTAGTATTCCTCATTTTGGTATAGAGTCGGCCTCCTCCCAATTCCATTTCTGTATTTCCACTCTGATTGCTCTGTAGCTGGTCCAGTCTTGTTATGTCCACCACATGCTCACAGAGCACCACAGATGACCGCTATCCATGTATATAGACGTAAACAATGGAGGCAGATGGCGTTATCCTGTAACGAGACTGAAGTGAATCATTTACTGCTTGCAAACCAATGATGGTAAGATGATGTCATGGGGTAGGACTGGATAAGTCTGACTTCTTCCTACTCCATTCAAGCATGTACTAGGTATTAGCAAATTGATATTGGATTGTGTGTAAAAATGTGTGTTGTTATATCAACTGTTTTATATGCTTTAAAGAATAAATCCAATCAAATCAAACTACATTTTAGCTCAGACAAGCCAGCTAATGTTTATATCTCTAAAGCAAAAATGATCCTCATCCTGGTCCTTTCTTAGCGAAATCCTGAGAGTTTATTATGTGGTGCTGTGTGTTTACCACCAAAGCAGCCAGAATGGTGGCCAAAGATAACCGTCTGGCCTTTTTTGAACTGTCTGGTCCACACAGGAGGAGACAGAAGCCTTAGGGTGGAAGTCAAGAGTGTAATGACCTGTACATTGGGGAAACAAAACAGCCACTGCACAAGCACATGGCCCAACACAGGAGAGCCAACCCCAGAGGACCGGAGTCAACAGTCCACCTCCACCTGAAGGACAAAGGACATTCTTTTGAGGCCAGTGAAGTCCAGATTCTCTCCAGAGAACACCACTGGTTTGAGAGGAGTCAAAGAAGCAATTTCTGTCCAAATAGAACACTCCTCTCTAAATAGGGATGGTGGACTCAGACATAACTCCATCCATCTACAACTTTGCTTTGAAATCTCTACCCAAACATTTCCACCCCAGTAAACACCAGGACAATACGTGTTGGTCCACATGTGAGAGTTCAAAGACAGGTAATGACTCTCACTGATACCAGACCCTAACCACTCAGTCGTTAGAGGAAATTGTTGGCCATCGAAGGACTGAAACACCGCCCAGTGGGATAAATACCTCCTGCTCATCACCAGTCAGACAGAACTGATGAAGCCTCTTGGATGAGAGGTGAAATGTCTTCTACCTAAGGCTATGTCCAGATGCCTTCTAAGTTTTTTCAGCATCTTTAGACTCTGTAAATGCAGTGGTCAGCTGCGCCAGCAGAAGGTCTGTGATTCAAATTTCCCAAATCTGAGAGAAGAAAAGAAACCGAATGACAAATGTTGTCTCTCGGAACCGGCTGAAACAGTGGCTTCCACACTTTTACCTCAGTCTTCACTCATCTTTTCACTCTGTAGACGCTCCTTCTTGTTATCACTAAAGCCAGAGGAAATGTCCCCTGGAGAAAACTGTGGCGAGGCTTCATCATACTTACAGTCTCCTCAGGGCCAGCAGACCACGAAAGGCTCCAGGCTCCACTGTACTTATCAAGTTATTCTTTAGGTCCCTGGAGAGAAGAGACAGAAAGAAAGCATCAGAGATTCCTCTTCTATCTATCTATAAATGGAAAGACTCTGTTTTTCACTATGGGAATGAAGAAAATTTAAGTTTTGCATAAGATCAAAGAAAATAAGACAATTCCAGACACTAAATTAAGTATTTGTGGTATTCGTAAATACATTTCAAATCTAAATGATGTCTTGTCCATATACTATTGTAATAGGGCACTGCTGGGGCCATTCATTAGTGAGTTAACTTGCACCTGTTAGCTGGACAGCACAGGCCATTTTCTGCATGCTAAGCCCCACACCCCATCCAGCTAAAAATGCAAAAACACACACACTGTGGTTTCAGCCAGCAAATAACCCATTGCCTACCCCAAAACCTCTTATGCTGCTAAAAATGGAAATCTTCTTTCTGGGTTTTTTTTTCCTGCAGGCCAAAGAAAACTTCCTAAAATTGTGTCCCTGGTTTCCTTTAACCCGGTACTGCATGTCCAGTGTGATGAGAATGAGGAGAAGGGTAGAGCCTTTTTCCAAATGTGAGCAACACTGTGGCTCAGCTCAGCCCTAAATTTCTTTTTTTAAATTAATTGCCACAAAGGCCACATCAGGTGCAGCCAAATGAAACAAAACAAGACCAAAAGGACTATCAAAGCAGAAGCTATTGTCCCAAAGTGAAAATAAAAGTAATGCCAGATTTCTCCATTTGACCTGTGGGACAGCTTGGAAGCAAAACATTCCTTTTAACCTAATCAAAGCAGAAGGTATATAACTCGGTGTTCTACATTTTGTGACAGGTTTACAGGTGCTATACAGTAATGCAGTCTGAAAGCAGGGTGTCTACACCACCACTACTACTACTAAATGAAAAACCTCAGCTGTGATTGTTTTACAATAACCGATAATTTATTTGATGTAAAGCATTATTTACACATACAGAAGTCAAGCCATCATTAGCAGGAGAATAATTACTCCCAACTAGGGTTAATGATCCATATCCTGTGTTAAACTGTTTGGTCCATGGTTCAACACATACTTTGTCTGCATCATTAAGACTCCCCAGCAGTTTATTCTGACCAGGTTTTGACCAGACATACAGAAAATGTGTAAATGCATATTGACATGCACCCTTCTGTACTTATTTATTGATATACAGTGCCTATAAAAAGTAGTCATCCCCTTGTTTTACCCTTTTATTGATTTTATAAATCAATCTTGGTGAATATAATTTGGCTTTTTTGACAAAGAAATTACAAAAAAAAAACCCTCTTTAATGTCAAAGTGAAAACAGGTTTCTACAAAGTTATGCCAATTAAATAAAAATAATGGAGATGACAAGGGGGTGACTACTTTTTATAGGCACTGTATAATCTCAGAAGGTGTTGAATGCTGTTTTCAAACCTGGAATTTTGTGATTGGTTTGACTTTCAGCACCTGAACATACCAGCCTTTGAGTTCTGCTGATTTTTCATAGTCAGCCAACACAAACACTACAAATGAATCAATTTCTGTCCTGTCTGTGCTCAAACTGAACTGGATGTATCTGGAGCATCCACTACTGTATGTAGCTGTATGGGACAGTATTTATTTGTTTATGTGTATACATCTAGGATGGATAATCAGCATGATCCCCCAAAATGTATCATGGTGTGATGACAACTTCACGTTCTCTATTGTGCAGAGTTCAATTTTATAATGTACATAGAACAACCCCCAGTAGAAACAACCACACAGGATACTTTCAAATTACCTAAAAAAATGCCTCACTCTCAACCAAAAACTAATAACATCATTAAACATCAAAACTGAAATATTAAAAACTAAACAATTCCAACTGTAGTTTTGAATTGCAATTTTGAGCCTTTGGATGTGGTTCCTATGGGTGTGTGAACATTTAAATCCCCACTCAAATATAATATATTGCCATCATAATATTCATAATATTCACTAAGAGAACAATCATGATTGTGATTTTTGTCATTATGTTGTTGTGCCATTATCCACAGAATGTGAATAGCTTGTTTGCTTTGCTGGCTTCCTGCAGGAGGTCTTTTTTTAGAGCCACATAAAACAAACAGCAGCATCACAGGCAACACAATGACCTTTTATAGTCACCAGAACTGAGCCAACAACTGCAAATAAATGTTATAAATTGTGGTTGTGTTATAAACTGGCAAGACTCCAGACGGGTGGGGTCAGCTTCATAATACAACAGATTGAGTGCCAAAAAGTTTCAATAATTAGAGGAAACTATTTGAAAGTAAATTTACAGTAGCATCCTTCTCTTAAGCTTTTTCTGTGATTAACTATTTGGCATGAGCTGAAGTGTCCTCTGTCACTAAGCCCCATGCATCTCCAAACAAGATACAACAAGCTAAAAGAGTTATTTGCAAAACACCCATCATGTGTAAGAAAGACACTGTGGAATCAGTATTGCGATCCAGTCTTGATGTGCATCAGAAAAGGTTGATTTTGTGAAATATTCCAGCTGTTTGGTGTGGGCCCTTTGTCCTACTTTATCTTCTGAACAGTTTTTTACCTTTTTTATTTCTCTAGGGTGCAACACCCACTTTGTAAATAGAAAGGGGTAGCACTGGCAGTCATGACCTCAAGAGGTCTCCCTCTCAACATTCTGTATGCACACATAAACAAGAGAACATGCTATGAGTTCTGCTGTATGTACTGTACTGAAACTTCAGTCTCCAGCTTCCAGTTTCCATCCCCAAAACAAACTGAACTTCTCCCCTCTGGACAACGTTACAGAACACTGAAACAACCAGACACAAGGACTGTGTCGTGTGTTGTCTATATAACAGAATACTGATAACACCCCAGTGCATCAGTCTGTACATATAACCATTGTACATATCTAAAAGCTCATACAGTATTTATTAATAGATTTTTACACCCAAGTCAAATTTCTCATGTGTTCAACACAGTGTACTTGGCAAATAAAGATGATTCTGATCTTTACCTAATTACCCATTCAGGTTTATTTCCACCATATCGCTCTCTTTCCTGTTCAGGACCTAACACATATAAAGTGAGGGTAGCCCTAGACAAGCCCCCCCACCCCAATAAATGACCCGATAGGTCTTATTATAAGCCATTGTCAACTTTAAGTAGCAACTAGCCACTACACTACTAAAACGTGCAAGAAAAGGACCACATGACCAAGTGAGCTGGCAATAATAAGCTACTTCTAATTTAAAAGTGCAAACTGAAGTATGCAGCAGAGAACAGGGTTTTTGACAAAGTGGATCTATATGTGAAAAGTCAGGAAACGCTGACTTACTGTACAGTGCCTTGCGAAAGTATTCGGCCCCCTTGAACTTTGCGACCTTTTGCCACATTTCAGGCTTCAAACATAAAGATATAAAACTGTAATTTTTTTGTGAAGAATCAACAACAAGTGGGACACAATCATGAAGTGGAACGAAATTTATTGGATATTTCAAACTTTTTTAACAAATAAAAAACTGAAAAATTGGGCGTGCAAAATTATTCAGCCCCCTTAAGTTAATACTTTGTAGCGCCACCTTTTGCTGCGATTACAGCTGTAAGTCACTTGGGGTATGTCTCTATCAGTTTTGCACATCAAGAGACTGAAATTTTTGCCCATTCCGCCTTGCAAAACAGCTCGAGCTCAGTGAGGTTGGATAGAGAGCGTTTGTGAACAGCAGTTTTCAGTTCTTCCCACAGATTCTCGATTGGATTCAGGTCTGGACTTTGACTTGGCCATTCTAACACCTGGATATGTGTATTTGTGAACCATTCCATTGTAGATTTTGCTTTATGTTTTGAATCATTGTCTTGTTGGAAGACAAATCTCCGTCCCAGTACTCAGGTCTTTTGCAGACTCCATCAGGTTTCCTTCCAGAATAGTCCTGTATTTGGCTCCATCCATCTTCCCATCAAGTTTAACCATCTTCCCTGTCCCTGCTGAAGAAAAGCAGGCCCAAACCAGGATGCTGCCACCACCATGTTTGACAGTGGGGATGGTGTGTTCAGGGTGATGAGCTGTGTTGCTTTTACGCCAAACATAACGTTTTGCATTGTTGCCAAAAAGTTCGATTTTGGTTTCATCTGACCAGAGCACCTTCTTCCACATGTTTGGTGTGTCTCCCAGGTGGCTTGTGGCAAACTTTAAACGACACTTTTTATGGATATCTTTAAGAAATGGCTTTCTTCTTGCCACTCTTCCATAAAGGCCAGATTTGTGCAGTATACGACTGATTGTTGTCCTATGGACAGAGTCTCCCACCTCAGCTGTAGATCTCTGCAGTTCATCCAGAGTGATCATGGGCCTCTTGGCTGCATCTCTGATCAGTCTTCTCCTTGTATGAGCTGAAAGTTTAGAGGGACGGCCAGGTCTTGGTAGATTTGCAGTGGTCTGATACTCCTTCCATTTCAATATTATCGCTTGCACAGTGCTCCTTGGGATGTTTAAAGCTTGGGAAATCTTTTTGTATCCAAATCCGGCTTTAAACTTCTCCACAACAGTATCTCAGACCTGCCTGGTGTGTTCCTTGTTCTTCATGATGCTCTCTGCGCTTTAAACGGACCTCTGAGACTATCACAGTGCAGGTGCATTTATACGGAGACTTGATTACACACAGGTGGATTCTATTTATCATCATTAGTCATTTAGGTCAACATTGGATCATTCAGAGATCCTCACTGAACTTCTGGAGAGAGTTTGCTGCACTGAAAGTAAAGGGGCTGAATAATTTTGCACGCCCAATTTTTCAGTTTTTTATTTGTTAAAAAAGTTTGAAATATCCAATAAATTTCGTTCCACTTCATGATTGTGTCCCACTTGTTGTTGATTCTTCACAAAAAATTACAGTTTTATATCTTTATGTTTGAAGCCTGAAATGTGGCAAAAGGTCGCAAAGTTCAAGGGGGCCGAATACTTTCGCAAGGCACTGTATATGAACTTCACCTGTCCATAAGACAGTGGAGGGCACTGTCTAGAAGCACACTATGATACACCTAGCAGATG